TCAAATAGGCCAGCCGCAGCGCTGCCTGGGATGGCCTCGGACTGTCTTCCAGATGAGATCGCGTGCAGGTGACTGTCCAGACAGGTGGCCTGGGGCCATCCATGAGGCCATCATTCAGGCAGTAACCACGGCACACAGGTAGTCCTAAGCTGATCCTCTTTAATTAGAAACGCAGTTCTGCATTCATCCTGCAGTTAGGTGTGCTGAGCTCATTCACCAGCTGCCCTTCTTCACCTGCTCTGTGTCCTGCAGGCTGCAACACCCAGGTAGCCTTGTCCTCAGCTTCCCGGAAGGCTTGGCCAATGGGTGGCCCAGGTAGAAGACAGGAAGATGGGAGGACTCCGTGGTCCTTCTCCGATCACTGTGAGTGGACTGCACGCATGTGTCTACAGAAGCCACACCTCCTGCTCACATGCCCTCTTGTTTCTTGTCCTATATTCTGCTCATTGCTCCCTCCTGCTGCCCTGTCAGAAGCCATGGTGGCTACATGTTGCACTGAAAATTGCAAGCTCAACAGTTTGAAACCATTCGCTGCTCCAAGGGCAAAAGATGAGGCTGTCTATTCCCATAGAGAGTCACAGTCTTGGAAATCCATAGGAGCGGCTCTGCTCTGTCTGGCAGGGTTGCTATGAGTCAGCAGGAACTCAATGGCAGTGAGTGAGTGGGAGGGCTGCTCCTTCAGGCTGGGGGTGCTACTGGCTCCCTTGACTGCTGGCCCTGGGTAGGGGCACCCACAGTTCGCACCCACACTCTGATCTTGTCCACAGCCCCATAAATATCAGCACACGGCATTAGCCAGCCAGTTGCTGTCGAGTCAAACCCAAATCACAAGACCCTGTTTGTGTGCTCTGTACAATTTTCTTTCTTATTTTCTTTGGAAGAAATTAAATGTTTAAAAATGATTTTTGTTATTGTCGCGAATATGTATCGCAAAAAGAAAGACAGAAAGAAAAAACCCAAAACAGACACCATCAATTCCACAAATTCCCCCTGGACCTCTCATTGACATTGATGACATTCTTGGAGGCATGCAGCCATCCTCCCCTCCTTTTGGGAGCTGCTCCTCCCCTGGCACCATACACTCATTGTCCCCGCCTCCCCTCCCGGAGGTTCTCATCTAATGTTGTAAGTTGCTGTTGCCAACTTGATGTTACACAGACAGTTCTTAAAAGAGCACAAGGCTCAAGGCAGACCTCTTTTACTCATGAAGCTAAACTATTGTTTGGTTTTAAGAAGACTCCGGGGGATATTTTTAGTTTAAGGTCAAAGATGATCTCAGGGCAACGGTTTCAGGAGTTCATCGCACCTTCATGGACCCAGGAAGCCTGGGGTCTGTGAGCCTCTGAAACTCTTCTGCTTTCCTCTCCTTTGGAGCAGGGCCCTTCTAGGCCCTCTTTGTTGGGAGCACTGATTCCCGACCACCAGGCACCCTCTGGTCCTGGTGTGAAGGCAAAGGAGGCAGCTGGCACATATCTCACACCCTGCTCTTCCTCAGCCCGTCTCTCCCTCTGTTGATCCCAGTGAATTGAGACCACTTGTTGCACTGCAGTCACGTGCACGCTTTTAAGACGCAGACACTACCCAGTGACCTGGGAGGTGGAACAGAGGCACTCGATAACTGGGGGTGTCTCCTGATCTTCAACCTCTCTGCAGGTGCCATGGGGTTTTTGGTTGGAGTCTCAGTGGTTCAGCAGGCAGTCCTTGTTGTTCATTGTTGTCAGTATATATATCACACGACCTTTGACAATTCAACTTTTTACCAGGATACAACTTAGTGACAATGATTATAATTCTTGGCTGGGCAACTTTATCCTTAATCAATGTGATTTTCCACCACCCTTTTCCCCTCCCTCCAAGCCCTGGTAATAGCTAATAAACCTTGTTCTCAATACATTTGCCTTTTCTTGTCTTTTTATGTGAGGCCACAGAGTCCGTCTTTTTTTGTGAATGGCTAATTTCACTCAGCATCATGTCTTCCAGCTCCATCCATCCAGGATCAGGTGTCAAGATTGCTTTTCCTGACCAGCTGGTTAGTGTTCCGTGGTATGATGGACCACTTGTTGCTTATCTGTTTGTCTGTGGATAGGTTGTTTCCATCCTCATTAAGGTTTTCTGAAGTAGATCTGGGCCTTTCTTTTGAGGCATCTCTGGGTGGTCTTGAACCTATCACCTTTTGCTTTGCAGTGAGTGCCTTGAACATGTGCACCAGGCTCATTGATTACTGCTGAGATGGCCACCAGCATGGAGCTGAGCTGAGGACTCCCAGGTCTTCCAGGATGCTGGGCCCTGTCCCCCTCATCTCTCACCGAGGAGAAGGGCTAGCTGAGTTCCTTGCAGTGGGGAGGAGATTCCCTGGAACTTCCCTACCCTATTGATTAGCTCCCTTGTAGAGAGAGACTGGGACTCCGACCACCAGGCAATCCCATCAGCCTTGAATGGGGTCAGGGGTCAATGCCTGGCCATCAGATTCAAGCAAAAGTGGGTGCTTGTGACCTTGATCTTGTTATTATTTTTACAAAAGCACTGTCAAGGCAACGATGGAGCCCCTGGTGGTGCAATCATGAAGTGCAAAAGTTAAGAACCAACCAGCAGATTGGTGGTTTCCAAGCTCTGCTCAGGCAAAGATTTCAGCCTAGGAAACCCTCTGGGGCAGGTCTACTCAGGTCGGTAGGGTGGCCACAAGTCAGAATGGACTCAGCAGTACACAACAACCAAGTTCCCTTTCAAAGTTCACTTTCTCCAGGTGCCTCCTTGACCAAAGCCTTTAATGGTCCCTGTTGGATCCACTTGGCATTCAAAGTCCTTCACAGCCTGAGCTCTCACCGCTAACCTCTCACCTTTCTCTCTCCCATCCTTCCTCTCAGCCTGCGCTGCTAAGACATGATGCTACCAATGATCATCTGCTCAGCAATTCTCATACTGAGTTCCCTTAATTCCACACCGGTCTCCACAGTCAGGTATTGCCACATCCATTTTACAGGTGAAGAAAGATATTAAGTCACTTGCCTAAAGTTCTACAGCCAGTTAGTGGTGGGGGAACAATTCACATCTGGGTTTCTGCCTTCCACCTCCTCTGCATTGCCATCTCTCCTCACCATCTACGGGGCATCCCAGAGGTATGTTGGTACGCTCTAGCCTGTGGCACGCATCAGCTACTTGCCGGGACAGAAGACGAGGCCGAGGGTTCTCTTGTTCATCTAAACCAAAGTCAAAAAGTTGAAAAGCATTTTTCTATTAGAGATTACTAAGCTACCAAGAGATCCAGTCTCTCTGTCCATTGTGAGGAGATAAGGTTGTGAAGCAGTGCTAAGCCAAGGACTACATTGCCCAGTTTGCTTTGCATTTACATTGGATCATGTGACTGAATTCTGGCTAATGGATGACTGTGGAAGTAATTCTGGCCATTTCTAGGCCTAGTAAAATCCTTAACAACCTCCTTTGCAATTCTCTCCACTAGGTTTTCTCTGAAAGAATTAAACTCTTTCAAGAATGATACATACGTAGGACTATTCTAAATAAAAAGAGCCAAGTTAATCCCTATATGAGAGGGCTTCAATAAATTCGTGGGGAAATTGCATGATCTTTTAATTCCATTTTCCCATGAACTTTTTGAAGCTTTCTGGTATGTTGAAACCCAGAGGGACCTTGGAAGCCCTTGGTTGAAGGGTCTCTGTCAGTCTGTGCCTCGCAGTGACTTCAAGGCAGGGCTTTATAGGAGTAGAGAATCATACATTTGAATTGTTACTCTACCGACTTTATGGCGTCTATTGCCACAGCTGATAGTGCTCCCTTAAATGAATGCATCGGCTAGGAAGAGGAACAAGCTCAGAAGCAACTCACTAAAACGCTAAGCCAGAGGACGAGGTACAACTTCCAAGTTCGGCAGGGAAGCCAAGCCCCAGCAGACACTCTTTCCCCTCCGCCTGGGGAGGAAGGATTCCATATCAGCAGCCTGAGCCACACTGCGGCCAAGGCCTGGATAGGAGGTAACCAAGTCAGAAACAAGCGTGAGACCGGGTCGTCTCAGCTATTAGAGAATACCAGAATCACTCAGCCGGGTAGCCTAGGGTAGTGCGAAGGGGTCTGCCCTTGGGGTTCAGCAGGATGTCCAGGAGGCTGCAGTGAGGAGCTTGATGCTGGCATTGCCTCGAGCACTCAGCAAGGTGGTCCAGTTCATCTGGGAGGTTTTATATGTGATGTTTAAGCCCAGCCTGCTGTCATTGTCTGTAGGGTTTTCACAAAACCAGTGTGATCAGGAGGGGTCCAGAGAGGGGGCAAACCAAACTCCTTGCCATGGGGTTGATTCTCATGGCGACCCTATAGGACAGGGCAGAACTGTCCCTGTGGGTTTCTGAGACTGTAACTCTTTTGGGAATAGAAAGTCTCATCTTTGTTCCAGTTGGTGATTTTGAAAGGCTGACCAGTGACTGGCAGCCCAAAGCATAACCCCTATGTCTACAGAGAGGTATGACTTGCTTAAAAATCATACACAGGAGTGAGCTCAGGAGCTGGGCCCACTTGGGCCCATCTTTGATCAGGGGGTTTGGAGAGGCCCCAGGAGGAAGGATGTAGTGGACAGGAGGCCTGCCCACCTTCCCATACCCCTGCCACCCCAACTCCCCTCCACCCCATTAACGCTGACCCTAACACCTCCTGTAAGTCAGTTCACGTTCCTGACACTCTGCCCACTGGTCCCAACTCAGACCTGGCCATCTCTAGCCCTCTGGTACACACCAACCCTGGGGGTGCCCACAGCTCCTGGGCAGAGGTTCTATATGCATAAATACACTTCGCGAATGCTACCAAAGGCCAACAGTAATGGCAGGAAAGGGGCGGAAAGAGCGCAGCTGAGAGTCAAAGGAGAAAGGGCAGCCCCCTGGGTGCACCCAAGTTAAAGCCAGCGACCACGCAGTAGCCAGGGGGCATCCGCCGCAGACCCCGCCCTCCGCAGACCGCGCCCTCCCCGCTCGTGTGCACCGAGCTCCGACGCCAGCCCTTACCTGAGCGGTGCCGCTGGCGCAGAAGGACCGCCTGACCGGGTG